GCTTTTATACAAATAATAAAAAAATATAATAATCCACAAATTTTACTTTACCCATTCAACAACATGAATTCGCTATTTCTTTACCCTGTTCTATAATTTTATTCAAACTTTTTACTGTTACCACTTGTTGTGAGGTAAATGAATATAATATACTTTACATCCAAACTGTTCATCGGTTTGTATTATTATAATTTGCACCTGCTTTGTTATTATTGTCCTACTTTGGTTCGTAGTTTCACCAGTCTATACCTTCACAAATGTCTTTCGTCACCAACTCAATTCAAATAACAAGGTACAGTTTATTAGTAACTGGTTATCTAAAATTTCAAAGTCTAGGTTCGATCTTTAGGATTGAATCTCTTATTTATTTAGTTTTGCTTATATGAGATTATATTATAGATTCATTACTATATTACAATTAACTCTATTATTAAGAAAACTCTATAAGGGTGTGGTGACTTAGTGAAGCAGTGAAGTTGTCACACATCCAAGCGGTTGAGTACAAATTTAATTCCCACTAGAGTTGAAAATTGAATTTCGAAAAACGGATTCAGCAACTATCGTCATGGCTAGGAAAACTTGAGACCCTGTAACTGTAGTCATATTAATTCATCAGAACTGAAAGATCTCAGAATATTTGTGTGATACAGGAGTTACACAAATAGATTTTCAGATTGTAAAAAGCCACAGGACCAATACGGTAATAGGTGCTTGCTTGGCAAGACCTAAGTAGAGAGATAGCACAGATCTTTGACAATACTACATAAAGAATTGTTATCGAGAGAACTGGCAAAACTGAATGGGACCGAAGTGTTTGGCAAGGCATTTCACCAACCAGGCCATCAGAAAAGTAATCAGAAAAAAAGAATCTAACCGTGGAAACCAAAAGCAGGTCACAGCCCTTCTGGGCCATCTAGATTGGTAGTTTGGGATTGTTAGAGAAAATCAGTGATAGTCTGTAATGTGTGTACTGGGGTTTGGGTGAACTCTACAAGAGCAGAAGTAGGTAATGGTAGCAGTCTCAGCTTGCAAGTACTTGTTTTCAGACTCGGCGTAAGTTACTGAAGCTTAGGCTGGCCAGATTGTGGGTACAGAAAGCTCTAGCAGGTTTACCTTGAAGACAAAGAGCTTGCTGGTTGAGCTTGCTTTAAAGTCCTAAATTAGAATTCTTAAGAGTCATATCCCAATTCGGTTATATGAAAAGGTTGACCTACATACGGCGCAGAGAGTTTAAATAGATAATCCCCTAGTTGGGTTGCAGGTATGGCATCTAGTGTAGAACTTAGTAATAAGTGGACTACTTAAATAGGCAATCAAAAATTATACGTGTGGCTAGTATATATCCTTCAAAAATATGTATGCTGTACGGGCACCAAGAGGGCTTAGCGTACGGTAAAAGTTAATCAATAACTGAATAAAAAAAACCAACCAAGAGGTTACCTTAACATTAAAAAAAAAAAATAAGAAAACTCTATTACTAATACAATTCTGAATTGATTTTTTATTGTACCGATTATGCTTTAAAGTTGCACAACCTATTGATTATATCGATCCCACTAATTGATATATACCCTTGATCTATTTAATCAGTGTACCTCAATCATGTGCAACTAATAATATCTCTGTCACTACTCTTACCAACATCATAATATCCAAATATATTTTATAACCCACTTTTAATTACTATAAATTATTCTTACTACTCACTGCAACTGCATTCTCTTCAACGTGAACCTTGTTGGTATATAAAGATGATCTAATGAATCAAATACTTGAATCCCTTAAACCATAGATTTTAGTGTACAAATATATATGCTAAAATAATTAAACAAAAGTAGAACTTGAAAAAAAATTTTTGTTATAAAAATCTTTACTATAATTAGCTATAGTGATATCTAAAGACTTGAGTCATATAAAAAACTCCACTACTACAGGATAGCATACTCAAAATAATTCAAATGAAGAGTATAAATTCTCACAATGATTGTAAAATATGCTATTTGATCTAAATATTTGAGTCATTATATCTCTTCAGTATTATTACAAAAATCAGTTCTGTAAAGTTGGTCACAAAGGTTCTTTGATTAACTTTAATATTTTGTTACTAAAGAAATTTGCATATAATGATCATGAGAAATCTTCATGATTGTCATATACAGGTTTCTTTTTTAATATTAAATTTGATCATAAAGATTATATAATGACTAGTCTTATCTAAACAATTTTTAGAATATTGTTGAGAAATTTTCACAAAACAATAAATAGAGAGAGTCAGTAGAAATAGGACAAATTATTTTTAGTGAAATTTTTTTAATTTTTAAATTACAATTTCTTAACAACTACTTAACCAATTTTGATAAATTTTTTTTTATTTTAATTCTAGAATTATCTAGAATTAAAATAAAAAAATTTATTAGTTTTAAGAAGATAGTTGACAAGATATTTAAACTTAAAGTTAAGAAAACTTTTACTTAGAAAAAATTTGTCTTATTTCTACTGACTCCCTCCAAATATATGACAATTAGTACATAATATATTCCAATTTTAGTTTAGAAAATATGAGTTGAGATATAATAAAATTTGGAGTAATTATACAAAAATAGGTTATGAAAAATTTTAGTATACAAATATGTATGTTATACCAGTATTGTCATAGAACAGTTGTGGATAGTAAGTTTGAACACTTTGAACAATTTTGAACAATTAAATAAATTAAAATTACTCAAAATTTTATTAAGATAACCTATTTTAATTTCTAAATAAAATATGTTTAGTACATAAAAAAATATATATTTATATATTTTTTAAACAAATTTATTAATTATTAAAACTTGAACATATTCTGAACACTTGTGAATACTTGAACATTTGGACATTAGACAGTACTAAAAAAGCTTTTGGATAGTTAAAATGTACAATACTGCGCTATATGGTTTAAAGGATAATATTTAGTTTTTAATTGAATAGTGCAAAAAGCTTAAAACTAATATCATATGATTATAAAAATTATACAAGACAGTTAGATATCCAATTTTAATAGATTTTAAAACTTACTAAAAAATTTTTAAATAAAAAAACTTTCAAATTAATAGTTTATAATCTAAACTAAATTTTATTTATATTTTTAACTAAGTTTAAATTGTTTATTAATCACAAAATATATTTTTTGTTAATATACTAAATTTTTATACTTATACAAATTTTTTAAAAATTTTTATTTAAAATTTTATTTTATTATTGTTATAGTACTATAGCATTTTAGTACTATAGTACTATAGTACTATCTTTTTATAATATAAAAATAAAATTTAACTAAGAGAAAATCCTGGTTATATAGATCAACTATGCATAAATATTTTTTTATATTGATTTTGTATTTTTTTTTTTTTACTAATCATTTCTCTTCTTTATAGTGTTGTCTTATTATTGGTATTATAATTGTCATTATTTTATTCTTGCTAGTCTGTATCATAGATATTATAATTAGTATTATAATTTGTTGTAATTGCTGTTATTTATTAAATTTAGTTTTGCTAATATTGTGTTGTTTATATTTATTTTGCAGGTGATATATTATTGTTTGTTAATACTTTCAATTCTCTTGTATTATTATTTTGCTAGTGATATTAAATAGTATTTTGCTTTTCTAGTATTTTGTTTTGTTTTTTGTCTAGAATTTTGCTTTTATTGATACTAGTATTTTGTTTTTCTAATATTTGCTTTTTTGTTAAAATTTTGCTTTCTGGTATATTGTTTGTTACTGCCTTGCTTTTTTAATATTTTATTTTTTTTAGTACTTTATATATATAAGCTTTATTAAAGGATGTAGTGACTTAGTAAAGTGGTAAAGTTGTTGCACTCAAGTAGTTAAGTACAAGTTCAATTCTTACTAAAAACAAAATTTGAATTAGAAAAAACAGATTTGGCAATTATCATTTTGACTAGAAAAACTTAAAACTCTGTAATTTTGGTTATACCAATTTATCAGAACTAGGAAATTCTAAACATTTGTGTAATAAAGAAGTTATACAAGCATACACCAGTATCACAGAAAGTTACAGTGCCGATATAATAGTGAAGTACTCACTTGGCAAGACCCGAATAGAGAAATAGTACAGATTTTTAATAGTATTATGTAAAGGATTATCATCAGAGAACTGGTAAAACTAAACAGAACTGAAGTATTTGGCAAGACACTTCACCAACCAAATAGTTGGAGGAGTAACCAAAGAAAAAGAACCTAACTGTGAGAATCAAAAGCAAGTTATAGCCTTTTCAGACCATCTGAATTGGTAGTTTGGGATTGTTAGGATTAATTGGTAATAGTCTGTAAAGTGTATACTGAGGTTTGGGTAAACTTTATCAGGGCAGAAGTAGGTAATAGTAGTAGCTTTGGTTTGCAAGTACTTGTCTTCAAACTTGAGCATAAGTTATTGAAGTCTAAGTTAACCAGATTGTAGATACAAAAAGCTTTAGCAAGTTTATCTTAAGAATAAATTAGCCTTAGGTAGATATACTTCTGATAACAAGATTGGTTCCTTCATAAAGATATAGTAGTACAGAGGGTTTAAATAGGTAATCCTCTAATTGGATTATAGGTATGTATCTAGTACAGAACCTGTAAACAAACTATTTAAATAGATAATCAAAAGTTGTATATATAGCTAGTTGTATCTTTCAAAATCATGTACTAAATAAGTAGCAGCTGACTATGATCAGCTTAGCATATATAACCAATAAAGCTACTAACCAAGAGGTTACTTTAATATTATATATATATATATATAAGCTTTATTAATAGCAAGTTTGCTTATATAGTACAGACACATCACATAAAATTAGGCCGATCGTGATATCTTCGATATTATCATAAATGATAATTGTCTTTTAACAATTGACATTGTACCTGCATATTACTGCACACTAACAAAAGGCAAACGCCTTTGTTAATAGGTTTATTTAAATGAAAATCGAAATAAAATTTTTGCTTGTACAAACAAATGGGTCGTAATAAAGATCTTACGGAGGCCGAATGCTTTATGGTAGAAAAGTTCAAAAAAGAGGGCATGTCTGCTGCCAAAATTGCACGCATCCTTGGTAGATCGGATACTTCTGTTAAAAACTGTCTTAAACGATTACATTTAACTGATAATTCTAGTTACTTTAAAAGAAAGTCTAGTGGTAGAAAACCACTTGTGAATAAGCATTATGAACGTTTAATTATAAGAAAAGTAAAATCTAACCCCTCAATGCGAAGAATGACAAACGTTTTCTTGCTGCAGAATTCCAATCCCCCTATAGCCCAAGTACTCTGGTAAAAACATTAAAAAAAAATGGCTTTAAATCTTATATTGTATACAAAAAACCATTCTTAACAAAAAAAGCACAACGCGAATATTCTAATTAGGCCAAGGAACATAAAAATTGGACTAAAGAAGATTGGCAACATGTTTTATGGACTAACGAATCATCTGTCAGCACTGACTCAAATGGAAAAATTCGAGTTTGGCGTCACAAAGAAGTATATGATCAAAGTTGTACACAAGCAACCGTTAAAAGTGGTCAAAAATCAATTATGGTTTGGGGATGTGTAAATGAATATAATTTACCCCATTTGGTTCGCTGCCCACCACGTATGAATGGTGAAGCATATGGAGAAATTATTGTGAATGCTGTTTATCCCATAATTATGGCTACAGACGATGCAATATTTCAAGAAGATGAAGCAAGAATTCATATAAGTAAACCAGTAAAAAAAATTAAAGCAGAGCTTGGAATTGTGCTTATGAAATGGCCACCGTATTCTCTGGACCTTAGTTCTATTGAGAATGTTTGGAGAGAAGTTAAATGTTGAATTCATAAGAACCGAAAGCCACGTAATCAACCTGACTTAGAAGAGGCTATTACTGTGGCATAGAATAATATTGCATTTAAAACAACTCTTCAGTTTATAGACTCAATGCCAGATAGAGTAAAGGAAGTTATTAAAAAAAAAGGCTGTGAAATCGGTTGGTGATTATTCATAAAATAATAAAGTAAATTTGAAATATTATAGTGATATCTGATCGGCCTAATTTTGTGTAATGTGTCTGTACAAAAGAAAGCTAAATTATAATATAGGTTATCTCTTTTTTGACTAACATTATATCAATTTTTGGCTAGTATTATTATAGAAGAATCTGTATATATACTGTATATTATATATAATACCTCTATATTATAGTATTTTTAGAATATATACCTTAATTTTTAGGGTATATACTCTAATTTTTAAAATACAATTTAAAAAAAGTGACTTTTTTTAGATCACGTAATCTTTTTAGATTATATAACCTCTATTTTTAGGGTTTAGGATTTATTTTTATATCATAAGGTCCAAATATAGACTATAGTAAAAATAGATGATATAATGTAGAAGGTGTAAAAAAAATAAAAAAATCTTTATAGAATTTTTATATATTTTTTGTGTAATAATCCTATTTGTTATATCTCTATTTGTCACAAGAGTGATATAGGAGCAATCTATACTATATTTAAGTTCAAGAGCCTAAACTAGAATCACTTTGAATCTTTTCAAGAAGCAGATTATAAAATATCCTTCAGACTAGAAGCAAAATTACTTCACTCTGTTCTATTTCCTCTTGAATTGTGAAAAAGTCTGTTGGACCAAAGTTTGTAATGATTCTGAACTATTGATTTAAGAAAAGATTTAGTAGAAGTTTGATTGTAACCTCAGGCAGTTTCTTATAAATAATTCTTATTGATATTGTAATAACTTTACAAACACTTACAAATTTTCCTGATTTTATAGACTATATAGAAAAAAACTTTATTTATATACAAATATGAAGAAACTTTTGAAGATTTAACTAAACTGCTAGAAATTAAATGAGATAATATGAGTGTTGCTAAAAGAAAACCCAAAAATTTAAATATAATTTATATTTAAATTTTTAGGTTTTCTTTTAGTGATACTCATATCATAATACTAAGATATTGAAGAGAAATTAATTATATCATGAAGAGATATAATAAATTAATTGCCATTCTGAAGAAATTATTAAAAATTAAACCAGATAGTATACAACTTTACAATTTATATATATTAAAAAGAAGGATTATTAATTTTTCATAATATCATCAATAGACCATTCATCACTTTCAGCATCACTTTGTTGTATCGTAGAATGACTATAGGCTTGTTCAATAAATAAAGTTTCTTGATCTCTTTCAAGTAGTACAAAATCAAAAAACTCCTCTATAATGGATATATCTTTATTGTCGACATTAATCACTTCAATTTGTTCATTCACTTTATCTTGTTCATCTTCATTTTGTTCTTTACTTGTATAGTGCAAGATACCTAAAGGCAGAAGTCACGTGACCTGTTTTGTTTTGCAATAAAATTCAACTTAGTCACAAATTGCATAAAAAATATCTTTACACATATTTAATGTATTGATCATGTGATATGATATTAAACTCTTCAAAATCAACCTTGCCAAACTGATAACCTGATAAAAAATTAAATGACCAAATCTTTTTCAGCTATATAGTTTTAAAGTACAAAATTGCAATTGGGTTTACAATAAATTTGTAAACCCAGGTCTATTCTAAGAATGTCTCTTTCTAAATTTATAAATAAAATTTATTGTACACCCTATAAAAAATATTCAAAAAATATATTCTAGCTTTTTTTAGATTATCGATCCATTATCGTTCTAGAAAATACTTATTTTTCAGAACAAAACATATACAAATTCTTGATTATTTCTATAGAATTCTGGTAATTTTCAGCTAGAAATAAAATCCAGATAAGATTGGGCTTCTAATCTTTTGTACTTCATTATAATTAAAAGCTGAATATAATCCAAATTTGATTTTTACCGGAATTTATTAGAATTCTATAAAAATGACCAAGAATTTATGTATGTTTTGTTCTGAAAAATAAGTATTTTTTGGATTGATAATGAAACGATAGTCTGAAAAAAGCCAGAATATAGTTTCAAAGATTTTTTATAAGGACAATTTAAATTAAAAATTATCAATTTATTTATAAAAATTTCCAATTTTCCTTTATTTTTGAAATAAAGATTAATTTTTTTTTAATAGTAGCTTACGCATTTATTAATATTAATTATACAAATATAAAATTATGTAATACACTCTTTATTTATGTTAGATTAATCAAATACATTTATGTTAGATTAATCAAATACTATTAATCAAAGATATTTAAACTTATTATTGATCTACTTAAAAGAATCTATTCGATTAAATAATAATTTCAAATTTAAATTATTTATTGCAATTTATCGATACCTTTATTTTCACATATCCATTTTTATATAGCTTTTTGAGAGTTGAATATTGATGTCTACGAGCTTAATAAGTGAAACTAATGTATTTTATTAAGAGAATTAAAACTTTTAGAGTCAAAAGTAATATTTTGGTAGTTTATTACACTATTTTTGCTGTTCTTTTAGTTTGGTATTTTGAAAACATGTCTGATAAATATAAGAAAAGTAAGAGCATAACTAGTAGTTTTGTGTCATAAAAAAGTATAGATTTGAAGAGTACTTAAACGATTCATTTTTATTAAAAATTATCTAAAAAAAATATATATAATACTAAAAATGCTTACCTTAGAATACCTTAACTCTGTTGATTACTATTTTTTTGTATAAACAAAGCCAATTCATTTTGAGGAACTCGTCTATGAGATTTGAACTTTTTGTATACATATTCTGCTAATTTTCCTGTCAATCACTCACAATATAACTCCATATATCTTCACGATTTTCTGGTGAATTTTCTAATAATAATTATATCTACCAAATCAAGTGTTCGAGGAATGGTGTTTGCAAGCTTGTCCATATATAATCGCAGTGATTCCTAGTATATTTTTTGGCTGCACCTCAATATATTTCAATAAAATTAAGTTCACAATAGAACTTTGGATAAAAAATGCAAATATGACCTGCACCTTCGATTAACTCAACAATAGCAGATTTTTGAGCCACAAAATCTAGTTGTAATATCATAATTCTCCTCAAGCAACAATCAACTTGTTTAGAATTTTCTTTTTTTTACACATTAAATACTCCAAATTTAACTCTTTCTTCCAAAGTTCTCTTTTTTCTAATACCCTCTTTATTTCTTTGGGCTTTTCTCTCATATTAGAGTCAAAATAATCATTCTCAAATACTATTTCCTGCTCTATCAATATTTTATTGATATTAACAAAAGTTGTTGACTATATTACACTTTGCTTTTTTCCAGAGCCTTTATTCATTCTTCATGCTACAAGGACATTATCTGCAAATACTGAATGATTTATACTATTATTGAAGGTAAAGATGGCTATTGCATCAAGAAATTTTGTTTCAAAAATAAGTATCACCTTCTTCTTTATTTGTTTTAACAAATGTTCAACAGTCTAATATTTTTTCTAGTTTTTACCAGGTATAAAATAACAGCATGCTTTGGTAGAAATATTAGATCCTCTTTTTTTCTTCTTCACTCAATCGTAATCTGCCGCATGCCTCTGTAAGAAATTCATTTACCATGACTAATTTACTATTTCTTTTCTTATGCAATAGTACTTTACTATTATATATCTAAATTCCTTTCTTTCCATCATATGCATAGAAGATGCATTCATCATGAGTGACTAAAATCAATTCTCATTTATCTACTTCAAGTACAGAAGAAATCGACTCTATCATTTTTTCTTTATACCTTGCTATCCTTATTTTTAAAGTTCTTATTTTCTCTAAAAACCTACTTCTGTATTCAACAATGTCCTTTCGCTCTTGTCCATCAAAGTATATACCTTTTTGGTACTTTTCAAACTTGCATCCTAAAATATTCAACCACCTTTTAGCTATTCTTAAGCTAATTAACTTTTTAATCCCACCCATATGCTCAGATAAAATAGCATACTTGATATATTCTTTGAATTGGGATGGACTAATACTATTGATTTCTGAATTTTCTCGTATTTATTGCTTACATTTTAAAGCTACATCTTTATTGTCAATCAATCGTTTATATTTTTGATATTAGCTATGATAGGAGACTAGAAAAAATCTATGATGTAAATAAAATTTACCAAGAAAGCAGATTCTCTTGTATTTGTATAGGTTGAAAGAGATATAAACTATACTTGCTACAATTTCACTTGCCCTCATTTTTCTGTAATCATCATATAGCTGTACAAAATATTCATATACAGCTCGCCATTTATTATATTCAAAAGCTATAAGTGTTTTTATATTTTTAAAGATATCTTCCTTAAGCTGAGCGATTATTTCACTTAGTGCAATAGATGCATCTTCATTACAATTATCATTTCTATTATCACTGCTATTCTTATTTACATTCTTATTTCTGTTAAACTCAGTCATAATTGAATAAGCCAAAGATACCAAAAATAGCTGAAATGTTAAATTCATTGATGGTACCAGCATTAGAGATCCAAAAAAATTAGTAATTTTAAGAGTTTCTTTTGCAGCATTTGCAAGTACACTGGACCTGCCAAACTTACAATAATAGGTTGATTTTGGTATACTCTTGACCATTATTATTTTTGGTTTATTTTTCCATATAAAAGATATAGCAAGTAAATATATATGTGTATTTTCTTTTTTATCTACCACCTTATTTTCCTCTTGACTATTATTTCTGTCTTCCTCAAATACTTGCTCAAAATCCTCCTGAACTTCTTCAAAATTCTTCTGAACTTCCTCTTCTAAGAATTTTTTTTTACATTTTTTCTAGGCTATTTTTTTCTTTTATTATTGTATTTATGAAGCTTGGCGTATTTTTTTTTCTTTTACCTATATTTTATTATAGAGTTTTTTTTTTTTTTTTTTCGCAACCCAGATTATTAATTAATTATATTAATAAAGTCCTAATTACTTTTGGTAACTGTATGGATTTGATCAGTATTTTTATTTACAACATTTCGTTTCATTTAGGTATTATTTTGTTTTATTGCTTAGGTTTTATTCCCTCTCGTTGTTCTGTTTAATCATCTCGTCTGTTCCTTCTTGAAGCCAGTTAAACTTTCTATTTGTAGATGCTTTTGCTTAAAAATTCGGATAAGACAAGAATTTTTTTGCCACAATACTAATAACGATAACAATAAGAATATATTGCATTTTGTATTAATGATAATTAATAATGTGAACCAATCAAATAAGAGTTAATTGAAATCCATGATCAGTTACTAACCAATCAAATATAAAATAAAATTTGATTAGATAAATTATGGTTATATTATTTATCTTATTTTTAATTAATTATATGAAAATACAGCTTTTTAGACTGATATATCTTAATAATGAGAAATTTTTTTAACAAATAAAGGCCACTATTTTGTAGCAAATTGGTTTAGCTACAAAATAGTAACCTTAATTTTTTTGTATTACATTTGTATAATTTTAGATTATCTTTTAAAAATATTCATTTTATTTCTGTCTTTAGATGTCCTATACCGTATCTTCAAAAAATATATCAATATTTTTTTAGGAAGTTCAGATACTAAAATAAATTTTGGTTTGTCTTTTTTTACTAAGTTTTTAAGTTTATTTTTAATCTGTTTAAGTTTCGAAAGAGTATTAGAAAAGAGATGATTTCTCGATTAAGTTTTAGTAAGGTTCAAAAAAGAAAATAGTTACCTACATGCAGCTCTATGAGGAACAATAGAGAAAACTTTTCTGGCAAATCAGCGAAAAAGAGAAGAATTATCTGTAAATCCTGTTTAAATGATTGTTAGATATTAGAGCTAATAATATCAAAAGGAGGATTATTATTTTTATAGCCAACTAACTTTTTAAAAAGTAGGCCTGTATTTCTTTTACTAAAACTCCACACCTTTGCTAATTTCAGGTATCTATGCAAAAGATGATCACTATTTATGTAATTTAATATAGCAATATTCTTGTAAGATAGGAAAAGAAATAGAGCAATAAAGTAAATATCTTCTAAGAATTTCCTTGCTCTTTGGCTAATAATAGCCAGTGTGTGAGCTTTTAAACCAGGAATAGAAACATCAAGCTTAGAAATTTCAAAATAGAGATAGATTAACTTCTTGAAAATATCAACTAGAGTAGTTTCTCTTGATTCAAGCCTTCTAATCATATCGACTATAAGCTTAATAACTTTTACCTATGCATTATTACTGGCAAAATGATATCTATTAGGGGGCATCTATAAATAACATTATACAAGAGGGGGAGAGGTTTTACAAAAATAATATTTTTTTTATGTTTTTTGCTAAGTTAGAGGAGAGTTGAAGAAAATAATCTAATTTTTTTATAAAAATATTAATATCTCGTGACCCAGCAATCAAAATTGGATAAATTTGGTATCATTGGATTCGTCTCTGTGAGAGGAATCCAATGGTACCAAAATTATTCAATTTGGATCACTGGATCAAAAGATATTG